AGATTAGTAACTTATTGAGAACTGGAGTAAAAGTCACTCTTGCTATGATTTAGCAAAGATATTGGTGGCATTGTGCCCCTGCTCTAGAGATGTGTGGAATGTTGAACCTGGGAGATATGATACAGGGTATCTGATGCATGTTGAACCTGGGAGATATGATACAGGATATCTGATGGAAGAAATTTCTAAGTAGCAAAGCGTATGAGATATGAGCTGGCTGCTTCTAAAAGCCTATGCTCATTTGCATAAACAAAGAAATGACCTGAAACTAGAACTTATATTTAAAAGGGAACCATAACATAAAAGTTTGGAAAATTCACACCCTAATCATGCGGTAGGAAAAAAAAAATCATATTCTAGGGAGAAATTCAAGTCTGCAGAAATTTGAATAAATAAAGAAGAACCAAATGTTAATAGCCAAGACAACAGACATTTAGTTAATGCTGGAATGAGTTAAGACCTTGGGGGACTGTTTGGAAGGCATGATTGGTTTTGAAATATGAGAAGGACATGAGATTTGGGAGAGGCCAGGGGCAGAATGACACGGTTTGGCTCTGTGTTACCAACCAAATCTCATGCTGAATTGTAATTCCCAGTGTTCGAAGAGGGACCTCTTAGGAGGTGACTGGATTACAGGGTGGATTTCCCCCTTGCTGTTCTCCTGACAGTGAGTGAGTTCTCATGAGATCTGGTTGTTTTAAAGTGTGTAGCATTTCACCCTTCTCTTTCTCTCTCTCTCTGCCTCTCTCTCTCTCACTCTCCTGTTCAGGTATGTGAAGAGAATGCCTGCTTCACCTTCATCTTCTGCCATGATTGAAGGTTTCCTGGGGCTTCCCTAGCCATGCCTTTTGTACAGCCTGTGGAACTGTGAGTTAATTAAACCTCTTTTCTCCATAAATTACCCAGTCTCAGGTATGTCCTTATGGCAGTGTGAGAACGGACTAGTACAGGAGCTAAGCCATTGTATACACACTTCTAACAGTCACTGTTTACAAACTGCCTCCGAAGAAGGACAATAGCCTTGGGCTTGGAAGTTCTGTTTTTGAAGGCAATTCCTTGAAAAATGAGTTTACTGTGAGCCATCAGCAGCCAGGCAACTGAGGGAATGAACTTCTCAATCCCAAAGAGGAGTTCCGAGTAGCAGCCTATAGTCTCCAATTAATCTACATATTTAATGGACACTAAGTGTGATATAATGTCAAGGTAGCACTTTTTTAAAAAATATTTTTTTTTAAATAGCCAAGTTAACTTTATTTCAGGATGTATTTGTTAGCATAGCTATTCTTTGGTTTTGATTGAAATTCTTAATTGATATATACGTACGTATTGTTGTTTTCTTTTTTCTTTTTTCTTTTTTTTTTTTTAGACGGAGTCTTGCTCTGTTGCCCAAGCTGGAGTGCAGTGGCGCATCTCAGCTCACTGCAATCTCTGCCTCCCAGGTTCGTGCCATTCTCCTGCCTCAGCCTCCCGAGTAGCTGGGACTACAGGCGCCCGCCACCACTCCCAGCTAATTTTTTTTGTATTTTTAGTAGAGATGGGGTTTCACCATGTTAGCCAGGATGGCCTTGATTTCCTGACCTCGTGATCCGCCTGCCTCGGCCTCCCAAAGTGTTGGGATTACAGGTATGAGCCACCACGCCCGGCCTTGTTGTTTTCTATTTATATTCTATCTCTCTTACTGTATGGGAACCATATAGACAAAAATTTGAGGCTGTTGTATACCTTTGCAACTTCAGTACCTAGAACATTATCTGGCTAATAGTAAGAATTCAGTAAGATGTGATGCATAAATGATTAGATGGAGTGAGGAACACTTTGAGAATCTGCACAGAGATCACAAATTGTTAAAGTTAATGTACTAGCTTCTGTAGCCTTAACAGATATTTTATGTAGGTCTGAACTGACTCAGAATTAATGATGTTATTTTGTATTTTGTTGACACAAATATCAAGAGGTATCTGCTTCAAATATGGACATTTTTTATTACTAAATGTTTATCCTTTTATTTATGTGTTGTGACTTACTCTCACTAAATAAGACAATAAAAATATCGATTGTGGTTGAGACAAAAGTTATACTTAGTGGCTTTACTCAGTGCATGCATAAAACAAACATAACAATCTGTTCATTGGAGCACTGAGAATAATACTGTGTAACTGATATATTAGAAGTTTTGCTCTTTCTGAGCAACTAATTTTGTTTACGCAATTAATGAATCTGGAAATCAGATTATCTACTAAATTGTTTTGTTTTTAAACACTCATAGAAGCCTTAAACTGCAATTCCAGATGTAACGTACTATTAAAAGCCCCCAGAATAGAAATAGTAGGCTTTGTTTTTATTCAGGACTTTTCTTTTAGTTTCTTCACTGTAAAAACCTTTCAGACATGTGTATCTGAAAGCAAGGTTACCAAAAACAAATGTTTCAGTGCGTAATGTGTCTCAAGCAACTGTCTATATGCAGTGTCTGCTCGGTGTTTTAGGTAGAGGTAGTATTCAACTCTATACTGATAATGAAAGAGAGTGGAGTTTCATTGCCATTTTCAACAGTCTTGTTCTCATTGTCAGGAAATAAGGTGTTTTAGAAATTGATGAAATTATAAACACGAAAAAAGAACAAGGCAAACAAAACTTATTTATCACTGAAGAACCTCTGTTGCTATTTAAGCTATATGCAAGGGACATCTAATTATTTCCTAATTAGGGCTGGCTCTTATAAAAATCATCCAACTGAGAAAAAAGTGCCTCCTTTTAATTTACATATATATGTATGCATGTGTGTGTGTGTGTGTGTGTGTGTGTATATATACACATTTCAATTCTTTAAAAGTGCCCTTTTAAAGAATTCATTAACTTGCTTGTATAAAGTTGTATGAGTAACTCTGGTTTACTAGAATTTGCATTTTTAAAGTCCCCAATGAGATATTCATATTGTAAGAATTGACATATACATCCTTCAAAAATTTTCTCTCTTCATGTCCCGTCCTGTTAACTTTACCTCCAAGTTATCATGTGTTATGTATTCACATTACTAGCATTCAGATTTTCTTCTCCTCATTCGAACTGGTAGAAAGTGATCTGGATTATTTTTGTTTTACAATTAACCTGTTTTTCTTTTAGATGAATCTCATTTATATAGGCCGGAGACAGCCCGATGGGTCCAAACTATGGAATTGGGACTCAATTTTTCCAGACCCCAGGTTTCCATTTTCACTGGCCGTTTTCTCCAAGCTCCTCTCTCATTTTCATTCTTCAACCATGTTCAATGATTTCTCAACCTAATGCTCTCTCAACTCTTCCAAATACAATCTCAACGAGAACCTGAAGATCATCTTGAAGATAATCTTGAATTTAAAACTCTTCATTTTCCTAGGTTGAACCAAATGTAACTGCATATTTTGTGAGTCAAACACAATTGAATACCAGCAATATTTTGTATTTTAAAGGTTATACATGAGAAAGCTGAAGTTTAAAGGGCTTAAATAATTTGCCCAAAAGTCAAATGTTGGGTTAAACTGGGAGGCTAGTCCAGAAACCAGATATTTATTTTTCCATATACTCACTATTACATTCCACTGGGCTGCTTTACACATGTGTGTTATTTTCCTTACTCCCAAATACATTGACTTGGGGATTCCAGGTAGGCAGCCACCTATTGCAATAACTCAAAATATTTATCCTGTTTCATACTGTAGAAATGCAAAACTGACTTTCTAACATAGTAGTAATGTAAAAGAGACAGTAGAATCTTTTACGTCTTAATTTCAATGAACGTTGCAGTGAACAATCTTAGTGCCTCCCCCTTTAAATATCACCCTCAAGAGCTACATTTAAAAAATGTTGACTCTGACAACCACCTTTGCATCTCCCACAGTATAATGTTTCACAAAGGTTTGTTGAATTGAATATAATGGAATTGAGTGAAACATGAAACCCCCAGTTCCTACGGATTTTTGTCAAACACATACTCCCTGGTTGTATTTCTCAGTTCTCAAGGTTTCAAGTTTCCATCCTCATTGTTCTTGCAAGTTATTTTACTGATGCCACAAATTTAGTACTAAAACTATTTTTGGTTCATAAGGTCACAGTTTAAAATTAAAAATAAAAAATATTAGAGGTTACCTATTTTGTGAGGTTTTTTTTTCATAATGTAATATAATAATCCTTAAAATAAAAATATATGTTAAGGAAATTAATTTTATCCCTGACTAGACATTTGGAAATCTTATTCTCTGATTATAAGAAGAGTCATTAAATATCTATTGGCTCGCCTCATTCAAATCAATTGTTTCCAGTGAATTCAAATAAGAAAGTCACTGAAATAAATCACCAACTTGAATATGCAAGGCTAAACTACTATCAGTTAATAATTTGAATTCCTAAAATCAATTTCTGTATATGTTAAGAATTAATCACTTTGGTAAATTAATTAATATTGAATAATTCTGTAATATTCTCATTAAAAAATTCAGTATTAGGCATTTTCCCTCTTTGTTTTTAAGTTTTATGTGTTTCTTCTAATAGGTTTGTTTTATACTTAGAGGAAGCTCCTATGTCAAAACATAAAATATTTGCACCTAATCTTTCACAATGTCTCAAGTGAGAGTCACTAAAATATCAATATATGTAAGGGCTGATTTTAAGCTTTTTAATGCAATTAAAGGTGTTTTCATACATACTACTGTCTGTTATGACTATTCCTGAAATGTCAACATATTCAATATGTTCTGTGTATTAGATAATTAGGATGATTCCCCCAAAGCAATGATATTAACTAAGGTTGACAGTCAGGGACTAATGAGAAAGGAAAAATAAAATTGCAGAGAAAATTGCAGGAGAAAATATTTTTAATATAAAGATCAGCAATGGAAATATAGGGTATTAGTACTTAACCCAAAACAGATAATAGAAAAAAAATGCGAAGGTCTTTTTAATTATGGGAAATACTGATTGAAAGTATATATGAAAATAATCAACTAAATTCATATATGTGTTAAATAACCAGTTGCAAATATTCAAGTCAGCAAATTGAAAACTGCAAGCATCTGTGGCTATCCCCAGTTTTCTTTCCTTCAACATTTTCAGTAATTTAGCGACACAAGTGAAACTTTATGGCAGTCACAAAAGCATGTAGCTTAAAGATAAACTTTCGATAGTTCCTGTTCCTTTCAGGATACGTCAAACATCACACACGTACAGAAACAAATACTCGGTGAATGCATCCATTGATCGATAACAGTTTGCAGGTTGGTCATCATATTTTTATTTATTCAACTTTTGTCTTTGCTTTTTTCTGTTCTTTTCAAGCAGGGTCAAACACAGTCTTTCTGATCCGCTACAATCAGGTGCTCTCTGTACAACTCTCCCTTTCTTCTTCAGTAGGGGATGCATTCACCACACTGATGCATGGCTTTTGATGATCCGAAAAACGTGGGTGTTCCTCAAGAGCTACTGATCTAGATGTCTTCATTGCTAGAAATAGATCAAAGGAGACCTTCTCCAAAACCGTAGAGTGATATCACAAAGAAAACCCAAGATGATTAAAGTTTTACTGTCAAATTATATTCTCACCACTAAGCAAATCCTGTACCTCTTTTAACATTTGGTAGAAAGACCGAAGAAACTAGCTATATTAACATGTTATACTTATACTCAATAACTCATTCTTTTTTCTGAAAAAGTGGGTAAATGATCATAATTCTTTAGGTCAAATGATGAAGCCTGTGCCTACCGGAATCAGCAGTGCATTTCAGAATTAACTTATCTATGTTGCTAGGAGTTACTGAGACATTTGAGACTCTTGATGTATCACAATTTTAGGGAAATAAAGTAAAAATACTTACCTGTTTGGATTTTGGTTGCATCAACTTTGAAAGGGAGAAATAATTGAACTGACAAGTAAGCATAAGAGTATTTTGCAAGTATACATCTTAAAGCTAAATGCTACAAATGTATAATAAATTTACTTTGGCAAAATTGTGTACTACACAGTTTGTAGAAAACAGTGTGATAAATGTGATAACTTAACATCTTTATTTTTTGTGATAATGATGGTTATAGCAAATTTCAAAATCATCCAGGGTGCCTACACTATAAATTAATGCCACTTTCAAAACAGAGATGGGAAGTTTTACTGTAATAATTTTTTTAATGTAAACTGAATTTTAAGGTTTTTTAAATAAAATGTAACTTAATTTTTACAAACTGTATTTTACCAATTTTGTAGCCTAAAGAAGAATACATTCTACCAGAAACCATAAGCTAAATGGCTTTTTGATTCTTGGAGGCCATTCTCACTTTCTCTGATATCCAGTTACTTATTTTTGCCATATGCACAACCAAGACAAAATTACTCAACATTCCTCTTAAGGGGCAAAAGTCATCTCCCCTTACCTTATTCTTCTGAGCACCGCAGCTGACATTCAATTCTTATATTGGCATTTCATTATCTGTATAATGAAGAGAATCAAATTTATATAATAAAAATAAAATTAATAGACCTGGAACATAAATCATATTTTAAAAGGCTTGGTATTTGGGAAAAACAACGATAAATACAAACTATGTACAAAAAATACTGAATCGAGTTTGAAGAATTAGGAATTATTTGGTAGATCATGGATCTAGTCACCTACCAGATGTAGAAGCTGTTGCAAATTAACTGAAAAGGAGCCAGGAGTTGAAGAGGAGACAGAAATATCACAAAGAGCTTTTAGTGAGAGCTTAATATTTATAGTAGTTTTAGGCAAGGTGAGATTAGTCAAACTTGTCTAAATTGGATTCAAAGTGATACCATGTGGGTTAGATTCTGGATTGGCGAAGCTTTAACACTGCTCTACTGAAATAATTGTCTTTAAAGTAAGTAACAGATTGCCTTTTTATGTGCTGTTGAAATTTATACAACGTGAAGGTAATCTATGAAAGAGTAAGGATAAATTTGAAATTAAAGATCCTTAAAATCAATTAACCGATCAAATTATATATCCTTTTAAAATGTTTCATACTAACATTTATCTATTACTGACAGAGAAACCAAAGAAAGCAAAAATTCAGAATTTAAATTTTTTTATAAACCTGTGTCCCAATTTTTTACTGTAGTGCTTAAACTGTCATATCCTTGGCAATTAATTCTGCTGTAACTTTATTCTCTTTTTATAGTTTTTAACACTCAAATTAAGAACATAGTCTAATGTAAACCTAGCTGAATTGAAAACAGAAAATGTGTGTAAATATATATGAGGACATGTATATAAAAATATGTATTTTTTAAAGGTACCTTTAAAAGTCTTTCATATTATATCTCTCACACACACACACGATGTGAAGATCAGAAGATCACTTGTAACCACCCAATATGAGTGAGTATATTTTTAAGAAATATAGTGTTCAAATATTGTTTTATCTCATACAAGAGCAATTTATGGCTGTTTTATGGTTTTCATTTGGCTATGTCACTCTAAACCTACTTTGCTAACAAAGGGTAAACACGGTAGGGAATGAAATATCTTTTAACAAATAAGAAACACAGCAACACCATGTATGCGATAGGAAAAATTAAAAGATCCTGAGTAAATAAGTATACATGAATTGACTTCAATCTGAAGTGCTTTGTTATCCCTGAAAATTAGCTTAAATTCATTGAAGATTATTAGGACCCATTTAAATGGTTCACCTACTTGGATTGGGTGTCTTTTTAGTATCAGAACTGAATGATATCTATTAGATTGAATATTTTACACACACAAGAGGTTTAAAAAACTAATCAACAGAAGTAAACTGTATGCTAACTAATCACTAAGAGTCTCTTGATCAGAATTGCGCATTGCCAAGAGGCTCTCAAATAGGAGCGAACATGCCCTTTCTTAAGAGGACCCTGCTGCATAGCTGTGTTACAGTTTCTTCAATAAAGGAGAACTCTAAAAAAAACACACACTATGAATGCCTAATGTAGCTGTCCAGTTCATCGCAAGGTCAAACTGTAAGACTTTAAAATCCAGTTAAGACACTTACAAGTACATCCCGTGAAAGAATTCTTATTCTATTGAATGTCATGGTAATGTTAAATCTAAAATGCTAAATCAAAGCATTATTTCACTGGGATCCAATTTATTATATAAAATAATAATCAAAATGTTAGACTTGATATGAAGTATGACTTATATTTATTTTCTCCTTCTTCTCCTACTTCTTCTTCTTCTTCCCCCTTTCATTTGCTCCATTCTCTTAAAATCTATGGTCTTTTGAATAAATTTATTTTAGTTTCCCATCCTTAGCCTCAAAACTAATCTGTCTTTTCTTAGAATACTTAAAATTTGACTGTATGTATTCTGTTACTGTGTGTGGGTTGCATTTATTTTCCCCTCTCTGTTCTTTGCAAAAAGTATTTCTTCTTTCTAGAATGTGTTTGCATACATTAGAACACACTGTACGCAGAGGTAAACACTAGAATGTTTACCTCTGTGGTTCTCAGTGTGAGCTGCATATTTGGGTTACCTAAAGGACCTTGACAACCATCTTTGAGGACTGCAGATTTATTTTATTATTTCATTGCTTAGGGATAGGTCGGGAATTGTTTTCAAGTTCACTAATTATAATGTTTAGTCAAAGTTATGAACCACTAGAAACCCGCCTTAAACACTCTTGGAGATACAGGACAAGTGACACCTGTAGGTTTGTTGCTTTCTATAACACACCTTCAGAAAAAAAAATAATTTTCCTTTCAACCGTTAGCACTTACGCACCATCCTACTCATATAGTTGTCAATATACTGTTGAAGAGCCTCTTAAATAGTGATTTAAGACTTTGGTTACTTTGGGGCATATTATATTGCCATATTTTTCTTCCTTTCTTATAGATTCTTATGGTCAGACATTATGGTTTATACATCTTTGTTTGGTGCTGTGCCTTGTGTACTTCATATGCTAAGTAAAGTTTTGTTACGTTAGTGTAAACTAATGTATTATCCACAACTAAATATATTCTGATCCCATAAAATTAAATATACTTGTTCTACAATCTTCACATATAATTTATCAGGAATTGTTAATCAAATAAAGGGTGTACTCTTAAATACGTACACATAAGTATTAATATTTAGAGATGTGTGTGTATCAACTTCCAAGGAAGAATTAACAATAAAAGTTTTAAAAATAAAAGAAGAAACAAATCCAAGATGATATTACTATTTGTTTTCTATATTAAAAAATGAAAAATGATGTATCATATTCTAACCTTACTAAAGGTTATATGTGATTTTCTTTTTCTCTGAATTTCCATGCTTTGAATAGTACGTTGGTCAATATAAATGCTTGACAGCATTTTATGGATTTAAAGAATTAAATAATGAATCTATTTTTATGTATCCTATAAAATAAACAGAAGTAATTATAGAATCATAAATTTGGACTGAATCAAATAAATTTTTCGTTGTAAGAATTAGGGACTGGTACAATAAAACAAGCATACAGATTATAACAACTTCCCTGATAAGGAGTCCCAGCTATCTGCGAAGGATTTGTATAGAATACTTTAGGTACGGTCTTTTTGGTTAGAATATTTGAACATTGGACTATATATTTTTTTCAAGATAATAAATTGTAATAGACCAGCTATGATTTGGAGAAGATAATTCTCAATAAAAATAAGATAACTTGGCTTCAACCTAGAATGTTTGCCAAACACTTTGTTGAAATGGTTTTCTTTCCTGGAGTAGAATAAGTTTTATACCAGGCTTATGTTGAGGTGTTGTTATGGTAACTATGTATGTCTTGCAGACTGTAAACAATTGTGTAAAGTGGTCATATAGAGTGCATGTTTATAGCTGGACTAGTTCAGTTCAAATGTATACATTCAATTTTTAATATTATCTTTACAAAGAAATATTTATTCACTTCAGATGGATGTTCAGAACCCTATTCCAAAAGATTACAGCCATTTGTGTGTGGGTACATGTGTGTAATTGGGGGGAAAGTGACATTTCTTTCCATTTTCCAAATCTTAAAGTGAGTTGATTATAATACAGACAACTAGAATTCACAGTTCATCTATATAATTATTATGAGTAGTCTCTGAAAACATGCCAAAAGCTTTTCTAAGAATTAGGCCCTCAGGTATAAAGATTAGCATGGTTAAATTGACTGCTGGCGATTTGAACAACCTCTAAAGGCTCTGCATAAAATCCATTGACAATGAAAATTTTCATTTGAAAAATGTGCTGCCATGGGCAATCTATGCTAACCAATTTATAGTCTCTATTTTTATGGGAGTTTGGAAGAAAATGCTTTTAAATCAGCCAAACAAAACTCCCTGAATATGTTATAGATTCATACGTGATGACTTTGCCACCATGAAAAAGATAGAAATTATAAAAAGTCAGAGGGCATGCATCTTCTACATGCATCTAACTCTGCTATGGGTTTGAAACAGGGAGTGATGTTTCTATGCTGTCCTCTATGCTAAATCCCTGAATGAGACAGTGGAATGTAAGACTAAGGTTCTTGTCTAATAACATTTATTCCCAAGGAAAATGTAACTTTGAAAAGCACTTATAATATACAGAAGGTAATTATTAGTAGCAACACCACAGCCATACTCAATATTCATATATTTTCAATGTCATATGGAAAGAGTAACAATTTAGATTCACTCATTCAACTGATAAACACATTTTCTAATTAGTTGTATATAACTATTGTCACATTTGGGGTGTCCTACAGATTTTGAAAACTACTGTTAACCAAGGAAATGAAGAGCATTTTCTATCTCCAGATTGGTCCTAAATCTGGGGATAGAAAAATAAAATTTAAAAAAATGTGCTCGACTTTGACTTATCTTCTGTGTTATTTTATTTTCCTATTTTCTGGAAATGTGTTGCATTTATCCATTTGAAAGATGTAATGTTAGCAAATTCAGAGAAGTAAATATAATTAAAAATTAAGTGTGTGAGACAAAAGTCCAGACAACAGATTTTTATAGCTAGAATGAGAAAAATGAGAATATGAGAAATTACGTGTTATGCTGTTACTTTAAGGAATGATACACTTTGTGACTAAATGTATTAATTATCCAGGATATTTTCTCATTGTCATGTGAAAGATGAAATTTCATTATTCTCAAAAAATGTTGACTTTGTTTTATCCATCTTTCAAATATCAACACAGAATAGAAATTACAGAAAAAAGTAAATTTAAGAGAAAATTATGATGTCATCTATCTGCTTAAAAACTCAAAGAAAATCTTCACAACTTTCCAAGGCAGATACCAAGGGTCGGCCATTACATTAAGCAGTACAATAATGGGACAAATGCTTCTGGATTTTCACTCCTTAGGAAATGCATTCAATTTCTTCCTATTTTGACACTAATATTAGGTCAGCCCACCTCTGAAAACATTGTGTTGAAATGACTGTCTTCATATATTCCTCATTGTGGTTCTTTGGTGAAATTGTCACTTTAGAGTCAAATTAGGGATCATTCACCGAGAGCCACAGCAGCATTGGTAATCAGCCTCAGGTTATTTCTTCCACATGAGAATTTTCAAGGCAGTCACTCATAGTTCATATCACACTTTTCCAAAGCATGAATGTCTATTGGTTGCATCGTGTAATGAGTCTGAATTTAAGTTTATAATTGTATAAATTTATGGATTCTGGTTGGTGGTATTTGGTTTTTGCATTTGACTCCAGGTTTTCTTTGTTACCAAAATATTATTTTTCTTTTTAATATTTTCATATCAAATTTTATTGCATCAATTTATATTAATAACTTATAGCCTATTGTTTTAGGTCATGTTTCTTCCTTAATTTAGGAAAAGTTCCTAATAAAATTTACCATCATGTAGGCAAGGATCCTACGTATTAATTAAATAAACACTATGCTTTTTTTGTACATTCTATAATGTAAAAGAGCTAAAAGACCCTGACAAAAGACACACTTCTTTGAAATGTGTTAACAATGTTAACAATGAAGTTACCACAGTGTTAACAATGAAGGGGAAAACTTATTGAGTTCAAAGAGTAATTTTTTTCAGATATTTCTCTTTTTCTGAATCTCAGACAACTATATTTTAAAATTTGAAGAATTTAACTATGAAGAATCATTCACAATTTTAATCTCATATATGCCTTACCTTTTAATATTTGTACAAAACTGAGCTGTTTTAAGTCTTCAATGACACTTTAGATAATCATTCTATAAACAGAGCAGAATCCACCCTCATAGAAATATATATTTTTGGTCATTTGAAATTCTGAATGTGAAGAGATAAATAGTATCATTTTAGTTTAACAGCTTGATCTTTGAAGTTTACATATATTGACTAATTTTATTCTGACAATAGCATTGAATATGGCGAATTGATCACAGTATGGTGCATCAAATTGATAATTCATAATCTATAGTTCATTAATCTGTAAATACTTAAGAAACCAAAATATCTGTCCTAGTGGGTAAATAGTTAAAAACTAACTTGTGAGTGTCTGTGCACCATTTTTTCTCTCTTTGCTTCTGGCCTCATATTTTTTCCATACTCAGCAGGGATTTTATGGCTGACCACATTGTTGCTTTCACAGCACTCTCCTGCATACTTGTCACCAAACCTCCAGGTCAATCTCAAGTTTACTCTTGAAGAAATGGAGTAGAAGATGAAATAGAAAATAATTAGGTAAGGCCTCTCTAGAGAGGGTCGTTACAAATTACCACAAAACTTATCGACTTAAAATAACACACATTTCTTACCTTACAATTTCTGGGAGTCAGCAATCTGAGTTTGACTTAACTAGGTGCTCTGCCTAAGGGTCTCTCACAGGATCACAATCAAGGTGTCATACATGACTCTCATCTGAAGGTCCAGTTGCTGATGGATCTACTTCCAAGTTTAGTGGTTGTTGGCAAGAATCAGTTCCCCGTTGACTTTTGACTAGAAATCTTCCACAGTTCTTTGTTAATTTGGGTCTCTCCATCAAAATGTGCAAGTCAAAAAAGCAATGGAGAGGATGGTTTAGCAATATGGAATTCATAAACTTTTGTAAGTTATTACATGATTGACATCTCATCAACTTACTGTAGTTTATTGATCTCTAGGATTAGTTTATACTTGCAAGGAGTGGAATACACAAGGGCATGAATACCAGAAAGTGAGGTTTATTGGGAACTAAGTTTGAAGTCTTCATAACATAGTCAAACAAAACATTGTTGTTTTCCCTAGTAGTCAGATCTCTAAAGAGCCATTTTAATACAAAAATGTGTTAATTCCATTTCACTTTCATTAAAACAATGAAACCATGTCACCCAACTACTACTTTGTAACAAATGTTTCCCAAGAGCATTGGAAACTTGTAGTCTAACCAGATGTATACCCTAACGTGGTTTCACAATCCCTTGAGAGAAAGAAAGTAGAAATCTGAAAGAAGAGGGAAAACAGTTATACAAATGGCAAGTGTTTAAATTTTTTGTAATCTGGATAATATGAACAATGTTACTGGAATTGCAGATGGATAAAGAAAGGGAAAAAGGTAAAGGGATGAATAAGAAAGCCAGAGTAATATTTCTTAAAACTAGTGTCAAATCATGTTACTTGTCTTCCTTTAAGCCGTCAGTAGCATCTCTGAGCCTTGGGGCTTAAACCTATCAGTTCCCCATACTCTGCATGGTCTCAAAGTGATTTCACTCCCACCTAACTCTGACCTCATGTCCTGACTCCTCTATTCCACTCTTGCCTCTCCCATAGTTCAACTGAGTCATTTTTAAGTCCTCATGAACTGCAAAACTTTTGCAACCTTGGGTATACTTACTTTTCCCTTTGCCTGAAAGTTTTTATTTCACATTTCACATAATGAATCCTTCCCTAGATTCTATGTTCACTAATAACAAGTCATGACCACCCTTTTATCTGAAAATTACTTTGAGCCAAGCAAGAGCCTCCTCTATCTGGCAGCTATTTCCTTCTACTGAGCTATACTCTCCCTCAGACTTGAATCCATAACTTGTTGACTAGGATACAAAAGGAATAATTGTCTCTCCTTCTAAAATGCATGAATTGTGCTCATTGTTTCTTTATAGTAGGCATTACTGTTTATAATTATTTTATTCATTTTTTTTGCTCATATTTGTCTATTGCCCCTATTTGGATGAAAGCTCGCAAAAGGAGGTAGGATATGTCTTTTTTCTTGATCACTGTCAAAACTTCCACAATTAGGAAAGTGTCCAGATTATGGTAAGCTCTCAATAAATATATTTAGTTTTTAATAAAATATTGTGAATTAATTATTTATTTGATCAGAACTGAAGTGTGTTATTTTGGCCCTATTTGAATTTAAACAATGGCATGTCTTGTCTGTCTTGGCTGCAGCTATTGCTTGGATATGATTTGTCTGTCCCCACTTAAGCTCTTGTTTTAAATTAATACCCACCTCCAGGTAAGGTGGTGTTGGAAGGTGGGGCTCAGAGGGAGGTGTTTGGGATGTTGGAGCAGATCTCTCATGAATAAGAAATCTTTTCTAGGTAGTTAATGAGTTACTGCTCTCATGAAGCTGGACTAGTTCCCTTGGGAATGGATAAGTTCCAATGAGAAGGAGCTGGTATAAAGCCAAGACATCCCCCAGGTCCTCTCTTCACACATGTCTACTTCCCTTTTGACCCTCTCAGCCATGTCATGACTCAGCATGAAAGCTCTCACCAGAAGCAAGTGTCATGCCCTTGAACTTCTCAGCCTGCAGAACCATGAGCTAAATAAACCACTTTTCTTTGTAAGTTACCTAGTCTCAGGTATTCTTTTATAGCAACACAAAATCTAGTAAGCTCTTTTATGTCTAGAATTAAAGTAGTATATTATAGTGCCCCCAAATAGTCACAGTTCATATTTTGGTGCCTATGTAATTATTAATACCACTCCCTTTATTCTCAAGATATCCTGGTTGGACTGATACATTAAATGGCTACTGTATTTGTGTCTCCTACAACCTCTCTCTTCCAATCCTTTATTACCTTTTTTTAATGAGCTTTTTACAAAGAAATATCTTTATAAGAGTAAAATTTCATCTCTCTCGGGTGTAAGACCTTGAATAAGTCAAATGTTTTTCAATGTATATTTACTATCTTTTAAGGGTATTACTCATACCCACATTGTAGAGTTGTCATGATTTGTAAATGGCACAATGCTCATAGAGAGTCAGATATTAGGCATTTAAATGATAATTCCTCTCACCAAAGATAACCATGAAAACCAAGCTCCCAGGAGTTTAATATATATATATACACACACACACACACACACACACACTATATAGGTACATATTATATATATATAAAATACTGGGTTAAGTACATACTTTATTTTCTTGATCTATTGCACTTGGATATATAAAATATTTAAATGGAGCTGCGGAAAATATAAAGTTAGCATATAATGTACTTTCTGAAATTTAGTCCTCTTCAAAGCAGTCACCCACTTTGATGACCAAGCATTAAAATGTTTATAAATAGTGCATTTAAGATTGAGTAAAATACATTAAACTTGTGCATTTAAATAGGGAATGAATGGCATCTTTCAACATATATTTATAACCTAAATTACAATTATTAATGTAAATAATTAAAAAGGAATGATCACTACTTTTAGTTATGCTAATGTTTTCTTTTTTCTTGAGGAACATAGAGAATCTATGTCAGTATTATCTGAAAATTAAGTTTTTTACTTTTATGCTGCCAGTAAGTAACACTTTGGGTACATGCATTTAAAAATTAATACTTAGAATGTTTATTTATCCCAATTTACTTATCAAAGCAAAGGAAGCCCTAAAAATATGAGAAGGTAATTAGAAAATCAAGTAAGCTACCTAACCACAGCTTTAAAAGTATGTGAGTTAGAAAGCCAAAATTCTTCTATTTGAAAGTCAACAACTCAAATCAATGTAAAGGAATGTTGTTTTCCATAAAGATTACTAAAGTCAGATTGCAATGACATCCTCTCCCTCCAAACTGTCAAGCAAATAAACAAAAGCTACTTTAAGTCTCTAGTTATATACATAAAATTATACGAGGAATGAGTCAAAGCAAGAATCACTCAAGCCTTAAAAATATTGAAAATTTTATTGTTTATTAAGAAAGTAAAGGAATAAAAGAAAGGCTACTCCATAGGCAGAGCCGCCTGAAATATGTTATAATTGAGAACTTCTACTCTGCTGCCTTGATTGAGGGCCTTTTTATTAATAATTTTTGAAATGATCAAGTAGAGAAAAATGTTAGTAGGCCAGGATGTGGGACTTTCGGTGTCTTCAGCAGCTACTGTTGACCAGCCTTTTCTTTTCTCTACAATAGCAAGTAGTAGCAATGATAGGAAATGAGAAACGATTTGACCAGGGTGAGTGATAGAGCAGAAGGTTATCTCATATCTTTCAGAAGTCTTGGAACATCTGGAATTGTTCAGTTTATTTCACATGGGCGATAAAATGGAAAAGCTGGTGTGTAGTAATTTAGTGGCTTCCCACTTCATCATGCATTCTTTGTATTTTTGCAATAGATTTGATGTGTGTTTTTATTTTTGAATGCTAAATGGTGTTCATTATATAAACGAAATGAGCCACTTGGTGACTATGGAGACATTGTTTCTACAATCTGCCAAAAATTAACTGAACAACTGCCATGAGTGATGATGGGGAACTAAGTCTTTGCATATGCTGAAAAAATATAAAAAATAAATTCCATGTGTATTGCATATCCTTCAATTCACAGCTGGTTAAGCCATTAAAAGTACCACATTTTTTTTCCAATTTGCTTCACACTGAATGGAATTTATGAGTCTATTTGTAAAATTAACATTCATTCTCCCCTATTATTAAGATTCTGATTATCTTGTTTTCAATTTCCAAGACTACAGCCTCAACTCTTTCTCCCTTTAGTCCTCTGTTTTACACTACTTTTTTCATTATTTGTTACTAAGTCAGGTGATGGTCTGGCAAAGTGGAGAAATAGTGAAACTAATGGATCTAACAATTTATTCAAAGCCTTGATGAATTTGGAGGTTGATGGGTATTTAGATAATAGCGTGATGGGTGAAAAGACAGATGAGAGACAGAGACATTTCTTTCTTTCTCTCTCTCTCTTTCACACATACACACACACACACACACACACACACACACACAGAGACACCCACCCCCCCACCCCCCACACACATTTATCTGTGTGAATACCATCAACAAGTCTTGCATAGGGCAGGGACCTTTTCTTACTTCCCGACTCTGCTCATATGTTAGTTTTATAAAGTTTAACTTTCAATGCTCTATTTATATTGAACTGGTTGGTTTTATTATTAATATTTATGAGTCTCTTGCTGCCTTTCATGATCATTAAACTGCTTTCATTTCTTCTCCAGTGATCAATTTTACCCATTTCTTAAATTTTACTCTTAAAAGATCAGGGTTCAAGTTCATTTAATGGCTCCTCATTTAATAACTACATAAGCTCAGATAAAATTAACTTTTTTGAATCTCAATATCCTCATCAAAAAATAAGGTTATCATGACTCATTTATTTCACTAGAAGTTTGTAATAATGAATAATAGTAAATGTGAAAATTTTGGTACAGTATAAAGTATATTTAAAATTAAGTAAATTATTAAAGACTAAGACAACATACAAGCCACATTGTGGAGCAAGTCATTTCAGTCTATTTAATGAGCCACATGTTACAGTCAGGCAAAGGGTAATGTCATAATTTTCTTTTGTTTCCTTTGTTTGCCAAACATAATTTTTTGCATGTATTAAAATGTGGAAAAAATAAACCAAGCATCTCTTAATGACTAAGTGCTTCAATGATGGCTTTTCTACCTGTTTTGTTAGAAAAAAAATTCTTAAGGCATTCATATGATAATTACAGTTTTGTTTCAGCTGTTACGATTATAATAAAATGTGATTATTTTTGTCGTTTTTTAAAAATTACAGGTTGTAGCCATCTCAGTGCAAAGCTTAAATATGGTATATACAAAGTTAATTTATAACAACATATACATAAAACTGATTTTTACAAAATAACTTTGTGGAAATTCAAACAATACAAGTGAACAATACAGTATTAATTAATTCAGGCAGTGCTATCTTTTAAAAATGTATTTTTCTAAGACACTTAAGCATAAATGATATATTATTAAGTTTCTCTTCTTAAAAATGCAGATCCTAAGTTTGAACAAACTGTAATAGGATTCTGAATATGAAAAAAAGGGGAAAATGACCCTGATGCTAATTTACTTTGATAACAAACCAAGGTTTACAGTGTTATCCATACATTAAATAAATAAGTAGGCATTTGAGAAATAGGGGGAAAAGGAGAACCTTAATACTTTGAGACCTAAGACATCTGCATATTTTCACAAGTGTTTTGAGAATAACAAAGACCCCTACATGATTTTTATATTAAGAACAATTTCTGTTGCCAATAGGAATATCTTAATTTCCATACTCTCACTGGTATTGTAAAGTTACTTGGAAGAAACAGAAATAATCATTCTGCCTCTTTTAACAATTATAAAAGCCATTGGATGCAACATATTCTTCTGAACATTTTTCTAAAAATGTCTTCTCTACGTTAAGTTTACAAATATTCCTATAACCAAAGTTGAGAATTTGAAGCATTACAAATCTGTGTACTTTTGCTACTTCCTAGAAAAAAGTAGAAGAAGCTAGTGTTATTATGCTAGCTACCTAGTAAGTATATTAAACAGTAAAAATAGAAAGACTATGTAGAAACTAATATGCTATTGAGGTCAAATTAGTATAAATTTGCTTTTCAGTGAAGAAGAAATCCTCATATATACAGGTCTTGGTGATAAGAGGAAAAATATTTCTGTCAAATATTTCTCTGCTTGGTGAATTAACTAACACTGTTTCCCTCTTTTTTTATTATTACATAATTTATTTTCATCTCATAAAAAATTAGGATTCCTTGAGACAGTTGGAAAAATCTTTT